GCGGGGTGGCCGCGGGAGTCCACGCTCCGCATGGCACGGGCACGCCGGTCCCCCGCGCGGCCTCTTCGGCACCCAGGGTTCTGCTTGCTCCTCTCGGAGGGCACCCCAAGAGTGTCTCCTGTCCTGCTTCCCAACCTCTGCGTCCGAAGGACTGTCGACCTCTGGGGAGGAGGAGCTTTGGAGAGCCGCAGAGCAGTCACTAACTCTGGCATCATTCGCACCTCTTGCAAAGAGGTCAGCAGTCCATCTCGGGTTTAGCAGGAAGGATGCAGGGGGGAATGGCTAGAAAATGAAATCAGGGCAGAAGGCAGGCTTGACGAGTGAGAGGAAGCTGAGAAGTCTTTCTATGTGAGAATTGGTTTTATAACGCGAAGAAGTCAGCCTGGCTTGATTTACCAACGCAGGGGTGGAACGAACTAACCAGTGTGGGTTTCATCTAGTTACAAGTTGAGAGGCAACGTTTGAATCACGTGGAGAAGCATGGCTTATTACATGCCATTCAATGCAACTTGGTGGTCTTTTTCACTCCGATGATAGCTGCCATTTTCCTTCCATGTTGCCTGTGATCCTTTAACAAGTATTATCTAACACTGAGACAAGTGGGGGTGAGGTGAGGTGGGGTGGGACAAGCTGCCTACAAAACCAATGTTATCAATTTATCTACCTGCCAGTGATGAAAACAAATCAAAACAAAAGCAATTAAACAGCATGAAATGACAAGTCAGATCTTGGGTCTTTATCTTAAGAGATAGGACATGACATTCTTTAATAACAACATGCATGGTACATAGATCTTTAAGACTCGGAAATAGAAACCCTGCCTCAAAAAAACAAAACAAGACAAAACAAAAGACCCAGAAATAAGCTTCTCATTTTCTTTCTTGAAGATATATTTTAATAAGTACCTCAAAATAAATATTTTACTTTCGATAGTGTCCTGCTAGGGAGCCCAGCCTGCTCCCAAACTCTCAGCTGTCTCCCTGCCTCATTCTTCTAAGTGCTGGGATTATAGAAATGAACACTCAGGAAAATATAGATCTCAAAACAGGCTAAGAGAGAGGCTAGATAAAATACATTCATTGAACATTTACTAAGTATATTTATATACCAGAAGCTATCTCATGCTGACTCCTGTTCACAAAGGCTCCCCGTGTTGAAGGGAAGACAGCCACAGGCAAAGAAGAGTTTTATAGCAAACATGACCGCGTGTCCAGTCATGAACAGAAGGACAAGGAAGAAAGTGCAGACAGGTATCTGCTGTTGAAAAGGAATCTTCTGACAGTGAAGTAAAAATGTCCCTTGTGTGTGGTCAATGTGAATGGAGTTAGAAGGAGAACTAGAAAAGCATTTTATGAGAGTCTGAACCTACGTCTTGACCCTGAAGCTACAAGATAGACCCAGAAGGACCTGAAGACCAAGTGGACACAAGGAGAGAAAACATCAGTGACAGAGACTTAAGCCTTTAACTAGACGATTTGGCTCTAACCCACGATTCGGTAGGTGGTGCTGGAGAATTGTCTGTATTCTGTCAATCATATTTTAAATAAATGCTGATTGGCCAGGCAGGAAGTATAGTTGGGAAAACCAGACAGGAAGTAGAGGTGGGGCAAAGAGAATGGGAGTATTCTGGGAAGCAGGAAGCTCCCTCCACCATTCCTTCCCAGATCACCGAAGAAGCAACATGTGAGCTGCCACGCCGAGAAAAGTACTGAGCTGTGCGGCTAACATAGATAATAATAATGGGTTAATATAAGTTACAAGGGTTAACAAGAAGCCTGAGCTAATGGGCCAATCAGCTTATAACCTAATGTAGACTCCGTGTGATTTTCTTTGGAACTTGCCGGTTGTGGGGTACTGAGCGGGATAAAAACCGCAACAAGCTGGCCCTCATGTTACCGGTAGGCAAACATCCCACAAAAGTGGAAAACTGCACCACGGTCTCCAGTGATGTAAAGATGTTTACAATCTCTTTTCTATGCTCTCATCAGGAAATGCCAACTAAATCTTAAGGCTTTGAACATGTTTGCCTGTGTGTGGGGGAGTACATTACTGAGTTATTCTTAATTCTTCATTGGAAATTTCAATGATTGCCGACAGGAGAAAGCTAGACATGTACATATGGACTTCAGAGGAGGTGACATGGTAGAAAGACCAATTTTGTGGTTTGTTTTATATAGAAAGTTACTGAAACCATGACAGAAGATCTGGGTTAATATGTAGGAAATGAAAGAGGGATTGACTTTAATACATGGTCAGAAAGAATGCTGCCAAAAAAGACAACACATAGACTAAAATAATTTCCATTAGCAAAATTCAAAAGTAGCCCTAAGATTGTCAGGTTTTGCTGCCCATACATACTTGCTTCTAGAAATTTAATGAAATTCTACTTTGAGCACTGCTATAAAGAGATTTATGTAAACCTCCTGGATTTCAAAGTACTAATAGGCTTTATATCTTAGAGAAGGTCACGCTAGAAAACAAAAATGAACAGACGCTGCCAAGTTCCCTTTTACTCTTTTGTCCTTTACCCACAGTTTTTTTTCTAATATTAGCATTGTACATTATCATGATATAATCTTTATTATTTATTAACTAATACTTGTGCATTACTATGGACTAGATCCATAGTTTATAGTAGTGCTGACTGTTCGTGTGGAATAGTTCTATAGTTTTGCCCAATAATGCCACACATCCATCATTACAGTAGCACACAAGACAGTTCCAGTTGCTTCCATTCTATGCTCAGCCTGCCCATTTCTCTTTCTTTCCCTTTTCCTACCCCTGGCAACCATTGATCTTTTACTGTCTGAAGAGTTTTGCTGTCCCTAGAATATCACACAATATGTGGCTTTTTCAGAAAGGCTGTTTCACATTTGAGTGTGCTTAAATTTTCTCCAGTTTTTTAGTAGCTTGATAGCTCGTTTCCTTATATTACCAAACATGTCCCATTGTTTCCATTGAAGGACTTGAGGGTCTCTGCAGCCACCAAAGAGTGTTGATCCATGAGAAATAAGAAGGCAGTTTGGTTCAACATAACTCTGTAGCCTCAGTTGGTTCAAAGTTTAAGAGTTTGACAGCAAGTAGTTTATTTTAGTCATATTTAAGTACAACACAATTTGGGAAAAAGTGTCCTTGTGATTATTAACTCAATCCCATGTGTATAAAAAAAGCTTACTTAAGACATGACGACATAGAAACTCCTGTGAAGTACAAGTGACATTCTCCACAAAGAGAGGCTTTATAGATTTACTGAGGAAATGGCATCAAGATAAACAAGTTCACAATAAGTGTCTTGGAGAGGATCTCACTATAGATTGACTGAGACAGACAAGATCAAGATAAGGGTCTGAGGGAGCAGGAGCAGCCTGTCCACATAGAGGTCGCCAGGATGTTAACAGAAGGTCATTCCCAGCTTTCTGGGTAGAAGACAGGTTATACATATCTCCCATTGGATAGACAACAACACTGTGTGTTTAACATTCCTGGTTTCCCTAGTGCTTTCTGTGAGCACAAGGACAGATGTTTCTCTTACAGAAGGCCATTTCAGTTGCTTTCACTTACCGGTGACTGTGAACTAACTTCCTGCAAATACTTCCATGTAAGTTGTTTGCAGACATGAGTTTTCAGCATGTTTGGCTCTAAGTTCAAAGAGCCTAATTTCTGTATTCTATAATTAAACTGATGACTTTTGTAGAGAACTGTGTAGGTTGCAATGGCACACGTCCAGAATTCTATCACTCAGGAGACAGAGGCAGGAGGATTGCCACAAGTTCAAGACAAGTCTGTTCTACATAATGAGTTTACAGCCAGCCACAGAGACATTATACACTGGTGAGACTGTCACACAACAAGGAGGATGGGGAAGGAAGGAGGCAAACTATCTTTTAAAGTTACTGCAATGACAGTATTTTAAATGATGTACCTATGGGCAAGAAAGTTACCAAACAAGGCAATACTGAGGTTATTTGAGAAAAGAATAATTTATAAACAAGTTGTGAAGGAGCTAACACCCAGTATATTGTTCATCCTTGAAATAGAAATAATTTCTGTGATTAAGGATTTAGTAAGGCTGACAGAAGCAAAGTTATCAGGAAAAGACCTAGGTCAGCTATGAATGGACTGAGAGTCATTTTCTGTCAATGAGTTGCTAGATGGTGAGGGAATAGAAGTTTTCAAAGGTATGTTCTACACCCAGGTTTATATTAAGTGTAACAATGAATTAAGAGGAAAAATCAATAATCAAAGAAGAGAAGGCTGAGCCGCAGAAAGACTGGGTAGTTCACTTGAAGTTCCAAAGTGAGTGGTGAAGGAAAGCTGTGCAGCCTGGCTTCAAAGTTCCCATCCAACTTTCGAGCACAGCATTGAGGGTTTTCAGCTGGGGCATCTGAAGAAGTGCTGTGAGTCACACTCACAAGACCGTCTCAAGGACAGAAAGGAAGAGCAGACTGATGATGGGAGATGAGGAAGAGTTAACGTCACTCT